GGCCCCCCAAGGTGCCCTTCGTTTCCCAAAGGGCGGGGGGGGGGGGGCATGCATATCGCACCCCCCCCAGAGAAACGCCCCCTTCCCCACCACCCCGTTTCCTATGGGGAAGCTAAGCCAGGAGGTGGCGGCCCAGGTGGGTGAAGCCCCGCGGCAACTCGGAAGGCAAAGTGGCGCCTTCCCGTGCAGGAGGCCAAAGCTGCAAGCCCAAAGCTGGGGGGTGGGGTGGGCTCCCGCTCGCTCCCCCCGGGCTGGAGCCCCGACGGGCCGCCGCACTCACAGGGGGTTGGAGCTGTTCCAGAAGACGGTGTGTCGCTCGGCCACGCACAGGCCCAGCAGGGGGGCCCAGACGAGCAGCAGCCACCACTCCATGTCCGCCTTCCCCAAGCCGCGCTCGCTCGGCGCCTCTCCTCGACGGCGCGGACGGCTCTCGCTCCGGCAACGCTCCGCCCTGCTCCGCTGCGTTTTGCTGGGCAAGCGGCCCAGCAGCGCGCTTTATGTGCAGGGAGGCGGCTCCCGCCTCTGGCCAGGCTGGGCTGGGCTGGGCTGGGCCGGGCCGGGGAGGAGGGGAAAGAGGGAGGCGGCTCAACACATGACACGGAGCCGGCTGCACGCAAGGAGGGAGACCCGCGCCCGGGGGACTGAGCCTGTGCCCCCTTCCCCCCCCCACCTCGCAGAGGGGCCGAAATGCAACAATTGCACGTGCGTAACTCTGTTAGAGGCGGGTCGCGCTGTAGCCACCGCAAGACGCACGTCTCCAGCATGCACCAACGCACACACAAACACGCCCTTCTTTGCAGGTAAACCCTCGAGCACCGCAAGGGGCAACGCTCGCGCATGTTGCATTCACACGTGGCAGTGCACGCCGAAGGGGATGCACGCGCAGGGCCACGATGTGGCCTCTGCAACCCCCCGCCCGACAGACTTCTAGGGTCACACAACCAGACGCGCAAGCAGCAACTCTGGGAACCTGGCCTGTAGCTAACATGGGGCCCACGGGGCCTGGCCCCCTAGTGTTTCTTCTGGGCCCCCTCCCTCTCGGGCTGCCCCCAAAGTGCTCCAACTTGCCACCTGCACTGTACTTTCATTTAATTAACTGGTGGGGGGGCCCCCAGGCCCCCTCCCAAAAAATTCCCTACCTACGGGGCTGCTGGGAACGCGGCATGCGCAAGGGGGTGCATGCATGCGCAATGTGCTAGGCGGCCCCATACGTGGAGCGACGCACAATATCAGTGCAATCGCATCCTTTACTATTATTTTTATTTGCTTGTTTCAGTTTATATTCCGCCCTCCTCGCAAGCGGGCTCAGGGCGGATCAAGACCGCATAAGATTACAATACTTTATTAAATATAAAAGCAATTAAACAAGTGTAAAACAGCATACTTAAAACAGGCCGCACTGTTCCTCTGCATAGATTTCAAGCGGGTGCCATTTTTCTTATCTTAATCTTGGCTGCGTACAGATAGTAAAACTCCTGAGGTCACTCTGCGTTCCCATCCCTCCTACATATGGTTGCCAACTCTGGGTGGGAAAATCCCTGGAGATTTGGAGGGTGAGGTTTGGGGAGGATGCGGAGGGGGCCTGTAATGCCACAGGGCAGCCATTTCCCCCCCAGGGAGAATTAATCTTAGTAGTTTGCTGATCAGTTGCAGTTCTTGGAGAACCTCCAGAGCCCACCTCGAGGCTGGCGACCCCGCCCCAAACAGGCAAATAAGATTAAACAAGTCACCTGGCCAGACCAACCCAACACAATGCAAAATTTAAAGGCCAAGCAGACAGCTCAAACGCAGCACTGAAAGCCGAACAAAGAGATTAGAGGGGAATGGGCAGATACCACAAGAAGAGGCTTGGGAATGCATGACAGGCTGATGTTCAACAGGGCACCTGTCAGAGGAGGAGAAGTGATTGGATTTATACCCCGCCCTTCACTCGAAGTCTCAGAGCGATTTACAATCTCCTTTCCCTTCCCCTCCCCACAACAGACACCCTGTGAGGCAGGTGGGGCTGAGAGAGCTCTGAGAGAACTGTCTTTGAGGGGACAGCTCTGACAGCACCGTGGCTTGCCCAAGGTCATCCAGCCAGGTGCAAGTGGAGGAGTGGGGAATCAAACCCGGTTCGCCCAGATTAGAGTCCCCGCACTTAACCACGACACCAAACTGAGGAGCGGTCAAAAGATGTGACGCTGCGGCAGGGGAGTCCATGGCTACTACCACCTTTGTCTCCAAAACTAGGGGAGGGAGGCAGAGATGGGCCCCTGGTTGTCAGCTCCGGGTTGGGAAATACCTGGAGATCTTGGGGGTGGAGCCTGGAGAGGGCGGGATTTAGGGAGGGGAAGTGCTTCGGTGAGGAAGGATGCTCTAGAGTCCACCTTCCAAAGCGGCCATGATCTCTGTCTCCTAGAGTAGATCGGTCGTAATCCCAGGAGACCTCCAGCCACCACCTTGAGGGTGGCAACCCTAGAAGGGCCTCTGGTGAAGGTTTCTGAGTGGGAAAGTGCTTCAGATGCCCTGGGCATTTGTGATCTGACAGGTTTAAGCCCCTTGACCTGGACATTCTGAGCTAGCTCGATCCCTTCGTGTCTTGGAAGCGAAGCAGGGTCGGCCCTGGTTAGTACTGGGACGGGAGACCCCCCCCTTGAAGGAAGTCAAGGGTTGCTACGCAGAGGCAGGCACTGGCAAACCACCTCTGAATGTCTGTTGCCTTTACCTGGATGGCCCAGGCCAGCTTGAGCTCTTCAGAGAGCCAGTTTGGTGTCGTGGTGAAGTGCGCGGACTCTAATCTGGGAGAACCGGGTTTGATTCCCCAGTCCCCACTCCTCCACTTGCACCTGGCTGGATGACCTTGGGTCAGTCACAAGTTCTTTCAGAGCTGTTCCTGAAAAAATTCTGTCAAGAGCTCTCTCAGCCCCACCGACCTCACAGGGTGTCTGTTGTGGGGAGGGGAAGGGAAAGGAGTTTGTAAGCTGCTCTGAGACACCTTTGGGTAGTGAAGGGCGGGGTATAAATCCAATCTCTTCTCTTCTTCTTCTTCTTTTACCTCACAGGGTGTCTGTTGTGGGGAGGGGAAGGGAAAGGAGTTTGTAAGCCGCTCTGAGACTCCTTTGGGTAGTGAAGGGCGGGGTATAAATCCAATCTCTTCTTCTTCTCTCTTCTCTTCTTCTTGGAAGCTATGCAGGGTCGGCGCCAGTGTTCCCTCTAAGCTGAGTTAGTGTGAGCTAGCTCACAGTTTTTCAGCCTCTGGCTCACACATTTTTGTCTCTGCTCAGGAAGGAGGGCTCCAGAGCAGACTAATTTATGCAGTGGCCAAATCACCCGCTCACAACTTTAATGCCAGCAGCTCACAAAGGAGAATTTTTGCTCACACTAACTCAGCTTAGAGGGAACATTGGCGGCGCTGGTTAGTACTGGGACGGGAGACCCCCCACCCAACCCAAGGAAGCCCAGGGTTGCTACGCAGAGGCAGGCACCAGCAAACCACCTCTGAATGTCTGTTGCCTTTACCTGGATGGCCCAGGTCAGCTCGAGCTCTTCAGAGAGCCACTTTGGTGTCGTGGTGAAGTGCGCGGACTCTAATCTGGGAGAACCGGGTTTGATTCCCCACTCCTCCACTTGCACCTGGCTGGATGACCTTGGGTCAGTCACAAGTTCTTTCAGAGCTGTTCCTGAAAAAATTCTGTCAAGAGCTCTCTCAGCCCCACCGACCTCACAGAGTGTCTGTTGTGGGGAGGGGAAGGGAAAGGAGTTTGTAAGCTGCTCTGAGACACCTTTGGGTAATGAAGGGCGGGGTATAAATCCAATCTCTTCTCTTCTTCTTCTTCTTTTACCTCACAGGGTGTCTGTTGTGGGGAGGGGAAGGGAAAGGATTTTGTAAGCCGCTCTGAGACTCCTTTGGGTAGTGAAGGGCGGGGTATAAATCCAATCTCTTCTCTTCTTCTTCTTCTTTTACCTCACAGGGTGTCTGTTGTGGGGAGGGGAAGGGAAAGGAGTTTGCAAGCCACTCTGAGACTCCCTTGGGTAGTGAAGGGCGGGGCATAAATCCAATCTCTTCTCTTCTTCTTCTTCTTTTACCTCACAGGGTGTCTGTTGTGGGGAGGGGAAGGGAAAGGAGTTTGCAAGCCACTCTGAGACTCCCTTGGGTAGTGAAGGGCGGGGCATAAATCCAATCTCTTCTCTTCTTCTTCTTCTTTTACCTCACAGGGTGTCTGTTGTGGGGAGGGGAAGGGAAAGGAGTTTGTAAGCCGCTCTGAGACTCCTTTGGGTAGTGAAGGGCGGGGTATAAATCCAATCTCTTCTTCTTCTCTCTTCTCTTCTTCTTGGAAGCTATGCAGGGTCGGCGCCAGTGTTCCCTCTAAGCTGAGTTAGTGTGAGCTAGCTCATAGTTTTTCAGCCTCTGGCTTACACATTTTTGTCTCAGCTCAGGAAGGAGGGCTCCAGAGCAGACTAATTTATGCAGTGGCCAAATCACTTGCTCACAACTTTAATGCCAGCAGCTCACAAAGTAAAAATTTTGCTCACACTAACTCAGCTTAGAGGGAACATTGGTCAGCGTTGGTTAGTACTGGGACGGGAGACACACCCCCCAACCCGAGGAAGCCCAGGGTTGCTACGCAGAGGCAGGCATGAGCAAACCACCTCCGAACGTCTCTTGCCTTGAAAACCCGTCAGGGTTGCCGTGAGTCAACTGTGCCGTGACAGCACTTTCCCCTAGGTTAAAACCAGCACTTTGAACTGCACCTGGATTCAAACTGGGAAGCAATGCTCCTTCTCTAAGCTGTGGAGTCTTTTGAGCAAAAATTCCGCTTTGTGAGCTACTGGCGTTAAAGTTGTGAGCCGGCGATTTGGCTACTGCATAAATCAGTTTTCTCGGGAGCCCTCCTTCCTGAGCGAAGACAAAAATGTGTGAGCCGGAGGCTAAAAAACTGTGAGCTGGCTCACACTAACTCAGCTTAGAGGGAACACTGCTGGGAAGCGCTAGGCCACCTCTTGCAAAAGAGCATCGTGTGCCAGTTGCACCCCCTGTGAGCCATCTTGCCCCCCGCTGGCCGGCTGCGATGCCTGGGTGGTCCTCAAAGGCCCAGCGAGCTCCCAGCACACCGGAGCGGCTCCCATCCAAGGGACGCACACACTCACACCCACAAGGAGAACAACAAGGCCACAAGGCCGGCCGACGTGCACAGGCAAGTATGGAGACCGAGCGCAACCTCAGGTCTGCCACATTCTCGTCCGTCCCTCCCCCCCCTCCGCTGATTGGAAGGAGCCTTCACAACAAAAACAAGACTCTGCAACAACAGAATGGCCTTTTGCACCGTGGAGTTGTTTGGTTTCCAGGAAAAACATACAAACCCAAAAGACTACCCATAGGGGATACTCCGGCATGGACATCCCCTCCTCCACTCACACACAACCTTGCTTTGCAAAGCAATAAGAGAGGGGCTACCACAGCTGGTGGTGAT